TGTGATTTAATAACAAGTAGTAGGAAGAATTGTTAAAAGAAAAAGGAAGGTTTTAATCCAGAAGCCAAAAAATAAAGCAACAAGAAGCAGAAGAAGAAAAAAAAAATGTGTTCACTTTAAGAGGAGAAATGGAGAATGTGCAAGCATTTCAATCCACAAAAAATAGTTACAATGACAAAGGGGGGAAAAAAACTTTCCACAGCGATCCCATTAGAATTATTTTCGCTGCTCAGTTCTTTTGTTTAAGGATCAATTTGGCTTTAAAGAAACATTTCTTTGGGTAGTCTTTAGCAAAATAGAACAAATACCTCACCAGATGGACTCACTTTCTCTTTTCACTTCCTTCCTTCCGGAGCATCCCGACTTCATCAGCCTAGGGGCTGCCTGTTCACCGCGGGCTTGAAGTACTTCCCTTGGGTCCATCAGGGATTTTGCAATATCCCTGAGACCAGCCAGGCTTTGTCTTCCTGATCACCATCTCTACAGGACAGTTTAGGTCTCAATGGACCCCCAGCGGCAAACGTGTCAACGGCGATGTCAGAGTATCGCACATTGTAACATCGCGATGTGGCTCCTCCTTCTCGAAACAAATTTTACTTAACAATAGTGTTGCTACCTTAACAAATGGAATGATTCATTTAATAACAAAGATCATAAAAAGTAGCAAAATTCATGAAAACAGTGTTGCTTAGCAATGGAAATTTTGGGCTCAATTCAAGATGCTGGTTTTAGTCTTTAAAGCTTAAAAAAATATTTTTCGTAAATCAGAGCTTACTCTTACAATTACATTTAAAATCTATATACTCTTCATACCTTCCCCATCAGACAAATCTTGCTGAAGTTGCTCTATTCTAACTTTATACATTAACTCTTTTCTTGGCTTTACAAAACTCAACGAAATAAAAAGCTGAAACTATTGTTTTCTGCTTAGTTATTGAATACAAGAATAAATTGGGCATGAATAAAATACTCACACATTTTTACAGATAATGACTGTGGTGATGGGACTGATGAACTGGACTGTCTTCATTCATGTTTTGACAACCAGTTCAGGTGCTCTACTGGCCGGTGCATTCCAGGTCACTGGGCTTGTGATGGAGACAATGACTGTGGAGACTTCAGTGATGAAACTAAACCAAATTGCACCAAAGGTCAGTGTTTTATATTCCCCTCCCAACTTCCAATAAAATGCTTACCTTTGTCAAATGAAATAATAATCAGGATTATGATTTTAGCTGAGTAAGATGATTAATATAAGATTTTATTCCTACTGAATTATGGCAATTGTATAAAATATGTATATGCACAATAAATGGGGTAGGTAGGTATATGTATCTTTGTGTGTGGGGGTGTCTGTGTGTCTATGTCGGGGTCTCTGTGTGTGCATGTGTCATACATATATAAAACACATCAGGAATATCTTTTAAGATATAACTTTTGACCATAGTTAAAAAAATATTTGCTACAGTAAAGGCAGCTGTTTTTTGTAGTGATAAAAGGGAAGCATGGTAGTATTTTCATGTTTTAAAATTAGATATTGTATTTTTCTGTCTGGGAGAAGGAAAATATTTTTGTATTGTGCATGATGATGCAGGGAATGCGAATAAATCATTTGAGCCAGTCCTGACTTTATTATGACTTTCCTGTAGTTCACTAAAACAATATAGCAGTGCAAAGTTTCAAAGATGTAATTTGAACATTTATTATTAAATAAGAAGCAGAAGAAAAGAATATTATGTTAAAAAATCTTCTACAGTATTTTAAATATTGCTCACCAAGGGCAAAAACAATAATATGCTGCAGTCTAAGAGGCAAGGTGAAGAATTCTGTTTATATCAGTACACTAAAATTTAGTTCCTTTTAGTCTGCTTGGATGGAATGTGCATATTGAAGGATAGTTTAGGTCTAGGTAGTAGAATGAATTATCAATTTATAAAAAACAACAACATACTGCATATTTTATATAGCAGTCACTGTATTGATGATGATTCCAACTATAACAAATTTGCTATAATTTGTTCAAGGAAAATTTGAATTATGAAAATTGGATTTTTTTATCATACTTTTTTTGGCCAGACAAGTTATCAGATATATTTCAACAATGGTTTCAGTGCTCTGAAATCTGATAAATGAACATTTTATCCTGCTTAATACTTTTCAACACTTTTATTGAAAAATAATGTTTATGATTCATAGGAATAAGTGCAACCTCTGAAAAAAACATAGAAGTATCTTCCTGTTCTTGTAGTCAGTAGTATTTCATGCTTAGCCACTTTTGTTAAATTTTTGAATGGCATTGCTTACATTGAAAGGAATCTCAAAATGTTTTCAGTCACTTCAGTAATACTTACATATTACAAAATATTAATAAGAGAAAGAAGGCATACATTGCAGTTTTTAAAATTCATCACAACCAGGGCCCATAGGAGGCATCTGTGTTACAGAGCAACATGTTCTCCCTGTGAACTAATTTCATTTCTCTCTTCCTCTTCCTTTTCCTTTCCCTTTCTCTTGGACAGAGAGAGAAAGAGAGGGAAAGGGAGGGATGAGGGAGACAGAGATGATCTAATCAGAATGGGTACACATTGTTTTCTTCTGCATGGGCTGGTATACATTGCTGTTCTCCCTTTAAATATTTTTGGGAATATGACTGCTCTGAAAGATGTGGGATAGATAGATCTGTAGACTGTTTATTCAGAGTCACATTCCAAGAAAGAAAATGGGAAATGATTAATGCAACAGTTGCCTCTACTCTACTCCAAGCTGTTTACTAACAGCCATCCCCCCACTTTTTTTGTCAACATGTACAAGGTAACATGTATTAGTATAGACATGGACATTATCACATGAGATTGATACAAATAGATGGATATAAATAAGTATAACAAGGCCATGAACACATAAAATACATATCAATGGGGACAGTAGGACAGGGATGGTAGACACGCTGGTGCGCTTATGCAAGCCCCCTTAGGGACCTCTTAAGAAACATGTGAGGTCCACCATGGACAATTTAAAGTTAAAGATATGGGGGTTTGAGGAAGTAACAATGGAGTCAGGTAGAGTGTTCCAGGCATTGACCACTTTTTGTTCTAACTGGATTCAGTTCTTTTTTAAACCTGCAGGTTTTTCTACAGTACTACATCAACTTATTTTTGTTTTGATTGTTTTCTGAGAGCTATTCTTTCCTATGCTCACACAAACAGAAAGATTTCCAAACCTATTGTGTAATTTTCAATAATCAATTGATTTAGAAAAAATAAAAATACAATTGTGCGCTTTCTTGCTTGGAGGAAAGTCCTATTATTTTCAGTTCCATTTATACTCTCATACGCATAAATAGATTTCAGTAATTATTTTGCTATTTCAGTTCAGAAATGTAAACAGTCGCTGTATAATGCAATGCAATCCTAATTCAGTAGCTTCAGTTTCATTGAGGATAATATATATTTGCAGCAATTTCCAATAACTGAAAGTTTTCAAAAATGAAAATCCTTTAATTTAAATGAAACCACTTTTTCTATTATTGTAGTGTAGAGCCAGAGATGTTTTTCCCATTGTGTTTTCTGTAGGAGAAAACACCAGATAGGCTTAAAATATAACAATATTTTTGCATTGTAGCTTTATCTAATAGTGATATTTTTAATATCTACTGAATTGATATATCTTTAGATATTATTAAAAACAACATAAATTGTTGGTCAATAGATATTTATCTACAGACTACATTTTTACATGGTGTTAAACTGCCATACATATCTTATTTGGACTCAGTTTTACAACTCTAAAAATAATGTTTCAATAAATACTTTCATATAATTCAACATGCTCTATAATATTAGATACCTAGGAGAGAATTATTTGCATCCTTTTTTCATTTTAAATGGAAATGTACCATATCCATAAAAGAGACAAATGAGTACTATTTGGAACTTTGGACTACATCAGGATTGGATGTATGATCCTCCAAACATTATTTAATGCAAATTCCTCAAAAGAGGTATTACTTAAGTACTACATTTATTACATAATACATGTGATCTCCTATGTTCTTCTCTGGAAAGATTCCAAAGAACTGGTATACCCACTAGTTCTTTGAACTTTGCCACAATTGTTGGTTCTGCTTTCGTGAGCATGATTTCAGTTTGCAATAAAAATAAAGCTATCTTTACAATGGATTTTCACATTTATGATTGTCAAATTCTAAGTCCATTTCAGAATTTTAAAAATCTTTTCTACAAACTGAGAATGTAAATTGAATTTTAACACATTTATAATTTGGGGTTGAATCAAGATATACCAATATATCTGTGGTCTTGTCTTGCTTCTCTTATCAGGAAAGTTATTATTTTTTTCTTTGTTTTCCATAGATTAAGGTTCTGTCTTTGATTACCTGCGATTTTGTTATTGGGAGGAAAAACTCCCATTCTTCTACACTTATTGCATAGAAATGTTCTCATTCTGTGAATGTCTCTTTGTCCAAAGAACAATTTATAATACAATAGTTCAAATGGTTAAAATGGATATCACCACTGTATCTTTTCAATTGTTCCAATTATATTTTTCCAGTGAAATTCACACTGGTGCAAAACTATGAACAATATATAAAAGTACCTTAGAAATATATACTTTTCTCCAGCATAATCCTTATGTAACCTGAGGTATGCATTGACTCTGCTCACATGATTGAATTGAATATGAATATATATATATATATATATATATATATATATATATATATATATATATATATATATATATATATATATATATATATATATATATATATATATATTCTATTTTGTAGAAATATAATAACCATACTTACTTCCTTGTATATTAATGTGTAATTGAGTCAATTTTGTAAAAATATGGTTCTGTGTTACAACAGCATGATTCTTATTTTCTCTGTGCAAAGAAGACTACGATACCATATACCACTTCCTTAATTGTAACCAAGTAGCCATGGAAAAGTATTGAAAATGATACAAATTATCAAAAAATATTATTAACTAATTTTGTATTATCATTGTTTTTTTAAATATTAGAGATAGCTTCTCTTGGGAGATGCAATGGGAAAGAATTTCAATGCTACCCAGATGGAAACTGCATTCCTGAGTTTTGGCACTGTGATGGAGAAAAGGACTGTGAAGATGGCAGTGATGAAAAGAGTTGTAATGGAACTATAAGACCATGTGATGCCAAAACAAAGTTTTCCTGCAAAGCTACAGGTATTAAAGGGTAACAGTTTATGCAAAGTTAAAACTATGATTTTATTGTTAGCATTGAAGCACTATTTACCTCATTTGGCTTTGAAACAGCCTTGTTATAGTTTAAATAGTGTGGGGTTTTTGCTTCTTATGGAAAGAATTAAGTTATAGCCCAAAGTTTATAATTTAATATTGTTTAGAAAACATAGTTTAGAATCTTCCTAGCTTACCATCATTCTTTGCCTAACCATAGAAGAACTCTTTCTTTAGCTTGGTCATATGTGTTAGTTTTATCAGATTTTTCAGTCTCTGCCCCATCTGCTGAAAGTAGTTGTATTAATTGTTCATGTCCTGCTTTACTACATCATTTATTTGGCCCATGCCTTAATTATGCATTATAATTATAATTTATAATTATATTTATAATTTATAATAATACCATGTTTCCTTGGAAAGCCCTACCCCAAAATAAGCCCTAGTAAGCACTAATTACTATGGATTTTTTAAAAAGACTTTATGGAACTCCTTTTACCTGTTTAGTAAATGGGTAATTTCTAAAGAATTGCAAAATTCTGCTCAATTGCCATTGTAAAGCTGTATAAATATGTATTAAGCCTAACATTCTACAACAATGTATGTTATATGATTACTGTGGTAAAGAAACCCATTAATTAAAACTAACCTCTAGAAGTGTATTATGTTATATTGAGACATTAGGAACCATGTTTGGACTGTGTTGGGAAATGTCAATAGCAAAATAAACTTCTAGATCAATTGACCACTATAAAGTGAAAATAATATTTATATAATTATTAGTAACCAGTAACTGAAGTGTTGTCATGATTCATCTTGGATATATCCTGTTAGAAAAATGAATGTAATAAATGCATATCATTTAATTAATTGAAAATTGATTATATCAGTACATATACATGTATATTTATTGTTCATTTTTAGAGCTATAAATAAAACTTAATACAATATTCCTTAATAAAAAAAATCATAGTGTCTGCCAAATCTGCAATAAATTGATGTGGATGTTGATCATGGTGATTCTCCACTTGTAGCTACCAAACACAATAAAATATAGAATTATAGCTAGTACACTAACCATTAATTGACATTGGACATGAAAACTTGATCAAAGCTTTGTCTGAAGATTTACTTGGCGGAAAACATACCCGTTTTTTGTGGATTTCAAGCTTCTATCAACAAGCAAGGATCACATTTTGGCATATTAAAAAAATAATAATTTTCAGAGCAGTCATGTTCCTTTCTTTCCAACCGCAATACATGACTAGAAACAAATTACATAATAAATACACTTTTACCAATATTGCACACTGTTTGATGATACTTTAACAAAGTTGATAATCATTAATAAAAAATAGAATTACACATCCCAGCTTTTACCTATATTGCTCTTAATTAGTAGAATGAAGAAAAAAGAAAAAAATACTCTAGTGCCTAGTCCTAGAGAACAATTTGGACATATTTTTTAGAACTTGAATAAGAACATTCTGAAAAAAGGCTCTGAGAAAAGTAGAGTTTATAATACATCAATAATTGGCCATTTGGCAACTGCTTTCTTTTATTTCACTAGCTCTTTCTAGAAACAAAAAATCAGTAATACACATCCTTAAACTAAAATCTCATGATTAGATCAAATGCAATATATGTCAATTAATTAGGTTCTCTTTTAACTGAACCCAGTTTAATTTGGTGGAAAATAGTTACACTTATTGCATTTGTTAACTCAGATGGAAAATATTGTTCTTTTTTAAATAAGCATTTACCAAAGTCTATAAATTTCCCCATAAAATGGCTTGTAATATATTTATTTAAAAAAAGAAGAAATCAAAATCCTTAACTTTAGCTATCTTGTCACATAATGCGTATACAATGAAAGAAATAATTTTATTTTATATTTTGTTTTAAATTAAATTTTCTCAAAAAAAAGACCCAGAATAAAAATCTCATAAAGCCTTCAGAAGTTTTGAAACCATTTGAAATTACTTTTATTTAAAGTTCCCAAAAACTTTTCCAATTTATGCATCTTCTTTCTGAAATATAAGATTGGGAAATGGCTAACATTGCTTCATTTTTAGAAAAGATCAGTGGTGAGTTTTGGATAAGGATTTTAAAAAATATTGGCCATCACTTGAAATTATTTTTCTATAAAATAGTAACAGTAAAAATAAAATATGAAAGAATAATCAGACTTGTTAAGAAAAGAATCAATATGTTTATTTTCTCTTTTCTTTAAGGGAGATGTATTAGCAAAGCTTGGCTGTGTGATGGAGACATTGATTGTGAGGATCAGTCTGATGAAGATAATTGTGAAGGCTATATGTGTGGGCCACCAAAATATCCATGTGCTAATGACACTTCCATCTGTCTGCAGCCTGAAAAGCTTTGCAATGGAATAAGAGATTGCCCTGATGGATCTGATGAAGATGATCTTTGTGGTAATTATACTTGATCAAATGCAATTGTATGAAAAATAAATAAATAATGGTCCCTAGATGATATAACCGTACTCTCCCACCCGTCACATCCCTTATGTAAATTTTAATGTTTGATAATTGAACTGTTCTCATTATATATGGTTGAAATTAATGCCATGCTGAAAAATTACTCTTTTTTTCATTTTGTCTACCCTGTTTTCCCGAAAATAAGTCCTCCCCAGAAAATATTGCAACACAGTAGCAGCCATGAGGTGACCATGCTTGCCGCTTCCTGCACCTCAAAAATAATAAGACCTCTCTGAAAATAAGGCCAAGTGCTTATTTTGGGGATCAAAAGAAAATAAGACCTTGCCTTATGTGAGGGGAAACACAGTATTTTTGAAATAAAGCAAATTCAAAGGAGAAAAATTCTAAATGTTTATATACCAAATTCTGAATATAATTCAATGAATGGAAGAAATCATTTTAAGTTTCAGGTGGCCAGCAGTTTTCTCTTCTCCTCTCCCCTCCTGTCCCCTAACAATGTAGCTCTAATTTATCTGGTATTAATTGAAAATTTATAAAATTAAATTAAATTATATACTTTTTCTCTTTCCTATATTAGATGTTGAAACAGATTCATGCTCTGACTATAATGAATTCCCAGATTTTTTTTCATACAAATGAAAAGCATAAAGTGAACACAAAATAAACAGAGCATAGCAGGGCAGCAGGTGTTAGTTCTCTACTCTGACACATGCAGAAGATTGTTATATAGTATTTGTATGCAAAGACCATCGTGGTCTACATTTTATGCAATATATTGTTTACTTATCCCTAATAAATTTAATTTCTGTTATTCCGGTTTATGAAACCATCCAGTTTTCCTTTTATTACCCTATTTTTAAACCTACAGACTATATTATTAAATATGTGAAAGAATGCCAAAGAATTCTATGGTTCTGAAATATACCTTTTATTCTGAAGTTATTACATCTAATCTTATAAAATATATCTATGGTGATGGATTAAATTTTCATTTATGTCTGAGAAACACATTTTCACCTGTTTTTATTTAAATGATAATAATAATTACTATTCTTATTTCAGAAGAATGTTCACTTAACAATGGTGGGTGCAGCCATCAGTGTTCAGTAGTTCCTGGAGGCAGAATTGTCTGTTCATGCCCCCCAGGATTGTACTTAAATTCAGACAATAAGACCTGTGGCTATATAGATTATTGCAGCAAACATCAGAAATGCAGCCAAGTATGTGAACAGCATAAAAATGATGTTAAATGCTCCTGTTATGAAGGTTGGGAACTTAGTAAAGATGGCGAAAGCTGTGCTAATATTGGTAAGTTGATATTTGCTTATCTATTCACTATTACTAAGTATATCTTATGAAAATTCCATGTGTCAAAATGACCCATTTGCTTTAGAGAAGCAGGAGGAGTCCTTAATTGTTTTGACTTTTCTGATACAGATGCTTCACAATTTGTTTTTATTTAGAAGACTTATATACCGGTATATTGTATATGATATTATATGCAATTTAGAACTTGATGATACTGAACTTATTTTTATACAAACACTTTATGTCCTTTTTGTTTCATTTAATAAAAAAATAATCTACACCATCAGATGTTATTTCTTATGTAAGATAAATGCCATTGATTGACAAATTTAGAAAATATTTTTTTCTAAAATTTGAATTAAAAATATAGTGATCTAGATATGAAAGTGTTTGTAGAAGCCAAATAAAGAAAAGAGGTGGCAACAAATTAATATCTTTCTCTGAAAGTGCATTTGTTATGACCGGGATGATGAACCTATGGCACACGTGCCACAGTTGGCACACGGAGCCATTTGTCAGGGCATGCAAGGCATTGCCCTGGTCAGTTGGCCAGCATGCATGTACATGCTGGCCAGATGACTTTAGCCTTTTTTTGAGGCCATTTTTCCCTCTCCCCAGGCTCCAGAGGCTTTATAGGAGCCTGGGGAGGGTGAAAACAGCCTCCCCTGCTCCCCCCGGAGGCCCTCCAGAGGCTTCAGGAGCTTCCCTGAAGCCTCCGGAGCACAAAAAACTGGCACTACGGGCAAACTGGAAATTCAGGAACAGACTTCTGGTTTGCTCGTAAGGCCAGTTTAAGCTCTCTGGAGCCTTCAGGGGCCTTCTAGAGGCTTCCCATGGCATGCCGCACTGGTCATGTGTGCATGCGCACTGGGGGTCATGCATTGCATTATGGGTGCGACACGCCTGCACATGACCTCCTGCTCTCCCCCTGTTTTTGGCACAGGAGCCAAAAAAGTTTCATTATCGCTGTGTTATGACAATGTTTTTGATAACAATTTTTAAACACTCTTGATTCAATCTCACTGATCAGAGGCAGTATTTCAATATTTGGCTTTCTACGTATTGGTAGGTGTATGTAAAATGCAATTTCATTTTTTCATTTCCATCAATAATGAAGAAATTTGTGATTCAAAAATTGTATATACATTTTATAGAAGATGGTTACACATGAAGTATCTTTTTAAATTGTTTTTATTTTTGCAATGGTAGGAGATCACTGTTTTTGAGTCTTAATTGTATACATTTGAATTGTGCTAAATTTGTAGCACATTAAGGAGAGAGGGAGGAAGGAAAACAGCCATACCTACTCAGCCATCCACCTTTTACGCCATACAACATTTTATATTTTATATGTAGCTCAGGGGTGATACTGGTTCGCTTCACGTGTGCACCAGCACACATTGCTCGTGCATGCACAATTCACTGTAAATTGTTCTGTGTATTTGCAAAGACCATTAAAACCTAATAAAAAACATGCCAGCAATGGCAGCAGAGATTGGAAAACTGGTTTGGGGATGTGGCCAGTCTGGGTTGCTGCCGGTTCTGCGACCCAGACCAAATTACCACTATCCGTTCACCTGAACCATTGCAAACTGGTAGAAACACACCATAAGTTATCTTATGGCCAAGAATTTAGAAAACATCTTGCAAACGTTTTCTTTTCTTTTTTCACATTTATTAGAAATATTATAAAATTTAAATCTTTAGGTTTCTATAACAAGCTGATGAGCCCTCTTCATCTTCATGGAGCATTTGTCATAAAAAAAATAAAGGTAAAACAATAACAGGTTAAAGAAAACAGGTTAAAGAAAAGACATCCATTAAGAAAACTAATGGGAAACTGGGAAGTAGAAGCTTTCTATTGTCTTATGCATGATTAGAAAAGGAATACCTACATACTATAAAGTTAAATTAAAAAAAAAATCTTTTGCACATGTCATAGAGATATATTTTGGAATAAAGATAGTTTTTCAATTATCCAATTATTGATTATTCTTCCCAATTCTTCTCTATATCTCCAGCATATAAAGAAAGCAAACAAGAAATACATCAGTAAAATTCCCTGGCTTGGTCCTGGCAGACAATTCTGATGACTATAATGTAATAGTTAAAAGTACTGGTCTAGAATTGTGGGACCCAAGTTCAAAATCATCCTTAGTCCCAGAAACTCTTTCTCATGGTCTGTTTAAAGTGTTGATCCAGTCCTTGACAGAACATATGCTAGGATAATTTGCCTTGCCAAGTGAATCATGAGTCGAGAAGGAGTTCCAGGTTGTACAAAGGGACTGTTTGTGGCAATGCCATCTTATCCACTATCTGTGGTAGTAAATTTCCAGGTCCCGGAGTCCCCCAAATCCCATAAATCCATGGCAGTTATCATATGGCCATGACCTCCTGAGTATCCTCAAACCCCACTTCTAGGGAAGGCAGATTGAAATCTTCTGGATCTTGGTCAATCAGCCTAAAGATTTCCACCAACCTAGAAATGTACTCAAGGAGCTCAAGCAGAAAAATTACTATGCAGAAGGGAGACTGTTGCAATAGTAACATTTCCAAATGATCTCTGGAGCCCAATGTAATGAACATTATCTCATATCCAGTAACATAAAATATCATCTGAGAGCAGCATCATTGGTAGTCATTAGAGATTCTCAGATGAAGGTTGTCACTTCTGCATTCTTACCCAAAACCTGGCTGGGGGGGGGGGACTACCAAGAGGGGACCACCCCTTTCAGGTGCACAAGGTTTAGGTAATACATGTAAATTCAGCCTTTTCATTTCTTATTAAAGGCTGACCTGGCCTTTAGCAGCGACAACTAGAAATTTAGACCTCTGAGAATCTGTTCACCAAGAAATGGGAGTTCCTGCCCAAGCGGGCAGGAACACAGAACTAGATGAAGGCACTGGGATTGAGTTCAAGATGACCCCACCCCCTGTCACCCATCATACCTCCCCATACCTCTCAAGGTCAGAGGAGAATAATCTGAATATATCTAGCTATTACCAAATGAAGGGATCGAAATCAGGCCATTCAAAAGAGAGGACTGTCCAATAAAATAAAACACACATAATTGAATATTGAACTAATTATATATGTATATCTCATTTTGATAGACAAAAGTGACTGGAATTCTTTAATAATGGCTTCTTAGCTTTCTTAAAATAAAATTCCATATTGAAAGTTCTTGTTTTTTTTGTGTACCTGTTTAATAGACTCCAATCTACTCTGCTAGGGATACATCTGACATTTGCTTTCTTAAAAGAGTTATTCACTCCCTATTCTACAATCAGAATATTCTACAAATATTAATCAGATGAATGTCTTGTATTACATTCACTGTAATAACCTACTACTGATTAGGTTTAACCACAAAATGTACTGTTGTGTTTCCAGATCCTTTTGAAGCATTCATCATTTTTTCTATTCGGCATGAGATCAGAAGAATTGATCTGCAGAAACGAGACTACAGCCTATTAGTTCCTGGTTTAAGAAATACAATAGCACTTGATTTTCACTTCAATCAAAGCTTACTATACTGGACAGATGTAGTAGAAGATAAAATTTACAGAGGCAAGCTTTCTGAAACTGGAGGTATGAAATGGAGCTTAGATTTTATTTTATTTTTTAAATTAAGTGGTACAGGACTCAGTTTAGGAAACTTGATGAATGAGTTATAATTGGAAGGTTTTTTATTACATAAATTATAAATATGTATAAATACATTTTATTATTTAAATGGTCAACCTGTACATCAATACATACTCTAAATGAGTTAAATAAGGAAACTTATATAAAGTGGGGCCAAGAAAAAGGGCCTTCTCAATGGTTGCTCCCTCCCTATGCAATATAATTTCTCCAGAAATAAGATTATCCCTATCTTTATATTTTCCGAGAAAAACCTGAAAAATAATTATTTCAGTAGATCTGAGGACCTCGGGTTGATATGAAGCCGATGAAGTGAGTAGTTTGGTTATACTTGTTGCTGCATGCAGGAGTAGCATTGGTGAGAGACTTAGGGGTTTTATATTGTGGATTTTTAACATTGCAAGCTGCTAATAAATTTGCTAAATAAATAAATAGTTTTGAGGGTTTGGGGTTTGGTGATTGAATATTTTCTTCATAGCTTTTTTGTCTTTCTGTTCAATATCTAAAAAGGAACTGGGATTTTTCAAACATGTGTCACTTATGTGGTGCATTTACAGATACTGCATTTAGCTGTGTGTGTGTGTGTGTGTGTGTGTGTGTGTGTGTGTGTGTATGTATCCAATAAAAGTAATGTGACTGAGTTAATAAGGAGAATGCAATCCAAGCAACTAATTTTAAACCTTCTTCCCCTAGTAGATCAATTTACATTATCTGAAATAATAGGATGAATAATGCAATAGCAATAGCACTTAGACTTGTATACCACTTCACAGTGTTTTATAACCCTCTCCAAGCAGTTTACAGAGTCAGGATATTGCCCCCAACAATCTGGGTCCTCATTTTACCAACCTCGGAAGACTGGAAGGCTGAGTCAACCTTGAGCCAGTGAGAATTGCACTGCCAAACTGCTGGCAGCCAGCAGTCAGCAGAAGTAGCCTGCAGTTCTGAATTCGAACTATTGCATCACCACGGCTCATTGTAGCTATATTTTTAGATACTAACAAATGATTTAGCATTTGAGATATTTTTCTTTGATGAAATTTATGACAAGATCAAAAGTTATAGCAAAGGTTGAAGAATAATTTTAAAGTGGAAATTTCTGGGAAATTTCAAACATGGACTAAAGAACTGAAATTTCCAATAATGCCCTGTCAATTTATTCACATCCTTAAAAATGTTAAAATGGTATCAACAGGACTGAGATGAAAATTGATTCAATATATATACAACAAAAAGGGTATTTAAGCCACATGTTCCTAAAATCTTGCCTTAGCTGTGATGTGGGCAAAGATGACATATGTACTCTGTATCTTTATAGATTCAAAAGTACATTCCAAACATTTTTTCTGTTTAGATCATAGCTTTGATCATAGCAGCCAAAGGTAATCTTTGGGATCAATTGGCAGGTTTATAATTTTGAGTGTGCTGTGGTCATATACCCAAAATGATTACTATAGGTTAACTTGTATATTAAAAAATTGCTACCTGGCTAGTCATGGATAATCACAAAATACCTATTAAGCAGGAGTTAAATGATTGTTTGCTGTCTTTCAGCTTATATTGTCTACTATTCTATTTATATTTTCTTTGAAGTATCACATTTTCACATAAGAAATATGCAAACAAAAAGGAAAGAATAAAAAGAGGAGGAACTTCTATTAGAATACGTATTATTAAGCACAGCATGTTTCTGACACAAGTTCTTTCTTTGGGTGCTTCTTTTTTGGTATAATTTTATATTAACAGCTAGGTATATCAGAAAGGGAAACAATACAATTCCTTTTTATTTCTATACTTTATTGTGAAGTTGCCTATTACTTTTTGAAAAGTCAGTGATGTGTAGATAAGATTTCTGAGAATTAAAAAGAAGTTTTTTGTGTGTTTTCATTTCTCTAATCTTGTATTGTGATTTTTTCCTGAAAAAGTTCCAGAAAACCTGTGTCCAAATGCTTTCTCTTAAGCCTTTATCCTTTCCCTCCTCAAATGTATAAAGTAGTGGACTCATCATTCAGCTCCTTCAGTTGCTTCATCTTAGACCATTGAGGAGAGTTTTACCCTGCTGTGTTTCCCTTATTCTTTCTACCAAACATTAAATAGGAAGCATGTAAAGGATACATTCTACAGTTTTATTTTATTTTTTTAATTCTTCTAGTAAAACGTGAAGTGAGAATGATGAAATACATAGGAGATAAATGTAAAACGCCAATAAAGGTTTGTAACAGAAGATATATGTTACTTCTGAGGTTAATTGAATCTGCAAGATGTATGGCAAAATTATAGCCATAATGTTCTTCTCAGATGGATCCAGCAAAGTTCATTTGGGACTCTGTGTATTTCATACATCATATTCCATTTCAAGCCAAAGGCTTATTTTTCTTTTATGTTTCTCAAAATATTCACAATACCTCTATAGAATTCATGCAGTTTATTTCTTAAAATGCCTTCAGAATTGTTTTATTAGTCTTCAATAAATTGTTATACCAACCATGGAAACTGCAGAAATTAAATGAGCATTGGCAGTTTTGGAGCAAATATTTCTTCTTTTTCTTCAATTTTTGGTGTACCTATAAAGTAATTTGTAAAAATTATTTTGAATATTTAAACTTTTTTATATACAAAGGTCAAATCCTACACACTTCCTGCATATATAACAGTGCTATGAAATCTTTCTCCTAAGGTTCTAATATAACCTCCCCCATCAGGTCCCTACACTATCTCCCCTCCTGGTCTACTACGAGTAACTTGTACACCATAAGCTTAGAGAAAAGCAGCCTGCAAATTCATAAAGATAAGATATTGGAGGATTTCTATGCAGGTAGATGGCCCTGTAAAATATAGGTAGTCCTTTCTTACTAACTATTCATTCTGGGACCATTGGAAGTTATGTTGGCACTGAAATAGAAGATTTATGACTGGTCCTCAAACTTGCAACTGTCACACATTCCTATGACCATGTTGGCAACCAGCATACATTTATGACAGTTCTAATATCCTCTGATCACATACATGATCTCCATTTGTGACTTTCAGAGCCAACATCTGCCAAGCAAAAGCAATGGCAACAAGTGACAGACACATGATGTCATGCTTAACAACTGCAACTGGAATTGACATAAGTCAGGTTGAATGATGTGATATTTCACTTTTCAATCATGCCACTTAGCAATGGATTTGCCAGTCCCATTAATGTTAGTAAGCAAAGATTACCAGTAGTGTTTAAAATATAGTAAATTATGCATAAACTCTGCAGAAGATGAAAATAATAGCAGAACAGTTTTATACCATGTTCTGCATGTAAAGTTTGCAGAATTGTGACTAATTATCTCAGCCTTGAGGGATTAGAAGCAACTCATTGCAACAGTGCTATCCTTTTGCGATCCATTCCAAAAATATATGTTATGTAAAAATATAAAATAGCAAATACTATTGAACCTAATTGCCTTTAGAGACTTTCAGGCTTAAAATGAGATAGAAATAAATTTAATGGATAATATAGTATTAACATTTTAAATATTAATGATGGTGATCCTTTTTCATAATAGAAATCTCAGAGCTCAAATTCATTTCAAAATTTATATGAGACCTACTTTATAGTTTTAAATTACTATGATCATAGTTTTGAAATTATTACATTTATCACCTTTGTTATAATTATACAAATGTTTGAATGTTATAATTGGAACAAAACCTTTGTTTATAATATATTCATATTAAAATATTTATGCTATTTAGAAAGGTTATATTTTCACCTCTTGACCATAGATAATGGAACTGTACATAAAGAGACCTTAAAAAACAAAGCTACTATGTACATGTTCAAAAGCATGTATGCTGCTTTGTTCATGTGTAAAATAGCAAACAAAAATAAAGAAATATCTGAAAGTACTCAACATCTGATGATGTTACCTAGTTTGGCAATGAAACATCTGCAAGAAAACAATCACGTTCAGAGAGCACCAAGGACTCCACAGTTCAATCCTGCAATATTTTTGTCAATTGCAAATATGTAAATCTATGGAAAATGGAACTACAAATGACCAGGGAGTGCTTGCTTTGTTTTTTTAAGAAGTACATAATTTTTACTTTTTGTATAAATTTCTAAAATTCAAGATTTATTCTAATATTTTCACAGGTGTAAGCTCCGTTGAAATTGTGGTCCAACATGGTTTAGCTACTCCAGAAGGTCTTACTGTGGACTGGATTGCTGAAAATATATATTGGATCGACAGCAATCTGGATCAAATTGAAGTAGCTAAATTAGATGGTACATTGAGGACAACCCTAATTGCAGGTGCAATGGAACATCCTAGAGCTATTGCTTTAGATCCCAGATATGGGTAATTATTCTTTATATTATCTTACAATTAAAAAAAATCATGCAGAATTATTTCTTAATATTGCATTGCTTTAATATAAAAAAGAAAAAGAAAAAGCAGCAAAAAGAGTGAAACATGCAAAACTTATTTTAAAGAAAATTATGCAACTTTTAAACACATAATTAAACCTTGACCATACAAAATAACTGTGGTCAGTCTATTTATTGCTTATTTATTATTAATAGTAATTAAGCATAGATTTTAATGATATTAAATCTGGGGCTGTACATTTCCTAAACTGGATGTTTATTTTTTTGGTTAGTTCTCAACCTTAATAAATGCATAAATTTTTATGTTGTGATAAACTGCATTTTAACTATATAATTCAAAGGTACATTTACATTTTAAAATTAAAGACCAAAACACTGAGTAAAACTAAAAAAACTAAAATTGAGTAAAACTAAAAATTAAAACTTGGGATGGGCATGGGATGAATCTGATTTCTGAAGAAATGATAGATATTCAGAGGTGCCTCAACAGAATACTCTCTCTACCTGGGTCTATCAAGTCAACACATATATTGTCACAATTAAATATTGTGAAATTCCTTTGCCTATTAAACATTTTTGCATTTTCCTTTGAAATACCTATTACATTAATCCTCATCTACTTCACAGAGTTTTTTTAACCTATGAGAATAGTTAAAATGTTACACTGATTCTGACATCAGCTGAAAAAGATACATGTAGCTGAGTATTATTGATGTATAATGAGAGTCAGCAGCTAAATGGAATAATATCATAATAGCTTTGCCTAAATGGTAAATAGCATATGTACAATAATTGTTCAGAGCTTAAAGCGTGGCAAAGACTAGTATGTTGAATAGTGATCCCTGAAGACATACCTCAAAATGTTCAGAGTACTTGGGACTATTTCTGCTCTTGAGGCCCTCTAAACCATTTTGAACCATTCACACAACCACCTTCACTCCTACAGAATTTACTACATGAAACAGGGTGAAAATATTGCATGCCAATCAGTCCTAGCCTTCAAAGAATGCAGGAAAAATAATTCAATCAGTGTTTTGTCCCAAATTGCTAGAAGAAACAAATAATTTTTCATACATACACGTTGTACATGCAAAAAAGAAATAAACTGTTAGCAGCCCATCCACATTTTACTGCATATTAAATGCTTTTGTCTAGTCATGTTTTAAATATCTGTCTGCAATCAGTAAAGCTATTGAGCTGCCAAGTTGTCAGTCCATCTGTATTGAAAATTCTATGGACAGTTATGAAGAGTGTGTAACCAGAGACTTATGGGAAAGTTACAGTAGCATCAGAAATAAAAGATGGAGTGGTGTAATATATTTGAAGTAAATGTACCAAAAATAGGATGATGATAGTTACCAATGTCAGAGATGTGTTGAAATAATTCTGGCACAATAAATATTTCCTCACATTGATAAACACATGACATAAATTGTTAATACTTTGTATTCATTTCACCACTATGTGTAAAGTAGTTTTAACTTTTAGATTGAAGAAAAGCAAAAACCTTCTCAATTTCACCTTCTTCTCTTCGTCTGGGTCATTATGACAAAGGCAGTGGTGGGTTTCAAAAAATTTTGGAACCTCTTCTGTAGGTGTGGCCTGTTTTCCNTTTTTTTTTTACATCCTTTCAATATAAAGGTGAGAAGATTGGCTTCTTTTTTGAAGAAGGAAGAAAATTCTCTCCATCACATATACACAAGGAGATCATAGGGTGAGAGCCAGGTAAAGAGCTCCAATGAAGATAGACAATAGCAACAAAAACTATAAGCTACTACTACCCCTATAAACAAGGTGAAATTAGGGACTGAAGAACCAGAGGGCAGTTTAGGAAATGACACTTGGGACCTACTACAAAACTCAGCATTTCACTACATTGTTGAATAACTCTCTTTTGATTTGTTAATTTCTCTAAAAAAAACTTTTGGGGCATAGTGAAATGCAGAATTAATTGTAGAGATAAAAAACCTCAGTTGTATCAATCAAGATCAGCTTTCACATCTCTGAACCACATTTTGTTTCAGTCGGTATTAGATTTTAAATTTATTTATTTAATACCAAAAAATATGTGAATTTTATTCATAGTAGAATATCTAATATTTTTGCTCTATTTTACAGAAAGTTTTGTTCACACATAATAATACGAAATGTTATGCATTTGTATATTGTATTTTTAATACAGGTAGTCCTTGACTTATGATCACAACTGAACCCAAATTTTCTGATGTTAAGTGAGTTTTACCCCATTTTACGTCTTTTCTTGCCATAGTTGTTAAGTGAATCACTGCAGTTGTTAAGTTAGTCACATGTTTTTTAAGTGACTCTTGCTTTCATTGACTTTGGTTGTTAGAAGGTCACAAAAGGTGATCACAATCTCCAGGACACTGCAACCCCTTATAAAATATAAACCAATTGTCAAGTGTCTGAATTTTGATCATGTGACTCTGGGGATGCTGCAAAGGTTGTAAGTATGAAAAACGACCACTTTTTTCAGTGCCATTACAATTTCAAATGGTCACTAAGTGAATGGCCGTAAGTTGAGGACTATCTGTATACAAATTTATATATATATATATATATATATATATATGTATGTATGTATGTATGTATGTATGTATGTATGTATATGTGTATGTATGTGTATGTATGTATGTATGTATGTATGTATGTGTGTGTATATATATATATATATATATNATCTATCTATCTATCTATCTATCATGACTATCTTGGGGAAAAATCTGGGCTAATAGTGATTGGTGACTAATAATGATGCTTTGCTTCTAAAATATTGATTATTTTGTTTACTCCCATTAATATATTTATTTTTGTATCATTCAGAATTTTATTTTGGACAGACTGGGATGCTAATTTTCCTCGCATTGAATCTGCTTCCATGAGTGGAGCAGGAAGAAAGATCATATATAAAGACATGGATAGTGGAGCATGGCCTAATGGTCTTACAGTTGATCATTTTGAAAAACGGATAGTTTGGACAGATGCTAGGTAAAATATATGAATGTGTCTCTTATAATCTGTTTTTGGAATACATAAAATGTGTATAAACTATTATTTTATTCCTATTTTAATGTCTACAATTTTTATTACCAAAAGAATATGTAAGTTAGAAACTTATATAAGCTTCTTAAATGCATGTGGTTGGGGAAGTACACATGAACATTTTTGCATAGTTTATGTAGAAATTAAATAAATCTGAAAAATAATATAGGAAAGTATTAGAAAAAATAACCACATAAAATGACCAGAACAACTATGTTTGATATTCTGGAAAAGATTGATCAAAAATTTTATTTCCATAAAGAATGAGAAGGACAATATTGATTTTTAAAAAGGTGCAAGATCTGTTGATTATCATGGAAAGTGATCAATATTAAGGAACAATTTAAACGCATAAATAATGGTCCTAGATTTGGTTATATTTTTTGTTTTTATTTTTAAAAAAATATTAAAGCCATTCCATTCAAAGAATCTTGTGGCTGACAATTCAGTAAAATGAGATTTAAATGTTAAAAGCAAGAAAAATAAACTGATTCTCAATAGAAAAAAGAATATTGATAGGGAAACATTTAAGTGATAAAAAGGTTGGTCAGACTTTGGATATTAAGTCAAATTCAAGTTCAAACTATTTTATGGTCTTAGATATAAATACAGGAGAAAAATTGAACACAATTACAAAATTTAATTTAAAAAGAAAAAAAGAATGAACCTGAAGCAATTAATAGTGAGAAAACAGTACCCATCTGCTAGTCATAGCTGTTGCTGGAAACATGGAAACCTTTATAGTTGTTCTCCACATCTGTCTTACAGAAGGAAGATTGTTCTTAGTTGATCAGAAAGATCAGAAATGTATGAATTAAATGTATGTGTGCCAGACACCATTGATACTATTGGTAGTGTAACAATACATGGATACTGGCTTACATGCAATTATTCTATTGGAGAATAATATTATATTACATTATAATGCCATAATAGGCAGAACATGGAAGATATTATAAAAATGGCTAGGAAATGTCCATGAAGAATCTGTAATTGTGCCATAATCAAATCAGGGTGAATAATTTTGGCCCTCTCCGTTTGTAGATCTCAATCCCAAATCCTATGTTTGATTAAAGTTTTATTTATGACAATATTGCCAGGAATGAGAGAACATAATATGCCAGATTAGAAATGCCTCCTTAGGGAAGAAGGAAACCTATCCAGTAGGATAAGGTGAACCAAAGACTTATCTCAAAGATCTGGGTTGTGCAAAATCTGACAGGTGGGCCCCAAGGCAAATGCAACCAGGTTCCAACCAAACAAGGACATTTGAAACTAAGCAAGGGACATGTATGACTTTCAGAAAGTTAGCCTGAACAGCTTCTAAAATAGGGGCATCCTTATAAACACAAAGTTGTGCACTTAACAGCAATAACTCAAGACCCTTATTTAATATAATTTGATTTCTGCAGGACTGTAATTATGTTATCCTTGATGACTAGGATAGTTTAAATCTGTGAGAAACAGTTGACTATTCTAGTGAATAGGGGATTGTGAGTGGCCTAGGTACCTGATGTATTTAATCTGGTCAATTAGTCTTTTGTTAAATTCTCTTTATAAGGGAATTAAAGGCCATTCCAAAAATTATTTTTTTGAGTAATTTTCAAAAGTTTCCCCAGAACAATAAGAAACTAGCGGAGATAGACATGTTTGAAGGCTCACTTAAAACAGTATGGTGAGCAAGTATTAGAGGGTGAAATTATAATTTAGAAAGGGCTACAATGTCACTTATATAGAAGTTGAAGAATAAAAAATAATAATAATAATATCACCTCATTTTACTCCTTTGAGGACAGGGATCACCATTATAGTTGTCTCTAATCTGCACTATAATATTTTGATGAATAAAATTGCCAATCTGAGAAAGTGGTGATCAATGGATATTGTACTATCCATTATAGTTCCCTCTGTTCAAACTGAATCTAAGGTTGCCCTTAAGTCAAGAAAGGCAACATAAAGGCTTTCTTTGGGAATTTAGAGAGTTTTTTCCAATCAAATATATAAAACAGAGCATTGATCTGCCACCCAATGGTTAAAAGCCAGGATATTTACTGAATACATTCAATCTAAAAAAAAGTATGGTGTAAAAATTGGCTATAGAGTTTTCTAACTGTTAAAAATAAATTGAGTGGTATTAAACATTTGCTTATCACTTTTCTGGTATATTGCGAGACTGATTCAGTTAAGCCTCTCTTTGGGGAGCAATACAAAATTACTTTATTTGTTTAATTTTCCAAGAAATAGATCATAGCTGTAATAAGCACAATTTCAAGATAGTTTTCCAACTGTTTTTCAGGTCAGATGCTATTTATTCAGCACTATACGATGGGACTGGCATGATTGAAATTATACGAGGTCATGAATACCTTTCTCACCCTTTTGCTGTCTCCCTGTTTGGGAGTGAAGTATATTGGACAGACTGGAGGACAAACACATTATCTAAAGCAAATAAATGGACAGGCCAAAATGTTAGTGTGATACAAAAAACCAGTGCACAGCCTTTTGATCTTCAAATTTATCATCCAAGTCGTCAACCCCAAGGTAAAGTAATATTTTTATAAAAATGTTAATTGCAGCCTTTGTATTCTTATTCAACTTTATTATTAGGTAGCAAATACAAATGGGAATATTTGTATATGTGTATGTGAAAGACTTTTCTGTGTGTGGGTGTGTGTGCATTGGCAACTGAGAAATCTGACATTTTTTTTATTTATCAATAAATATTTCTCTGAATATCAGTTTATATTTTCTATGGTGCTAATACAGATAAATTGATATTTTTGAACACTGTGGTTCATTTTAAAGATTTCTAAACAAAGCATAAAATTAATTGCTTTTTATATATGTTTCTGGAAAGAAGTACTAGCCATTAGGTGTTAAGGAGATACTTTAGTATTAAAAGATAATGATAAATATTATGTTTGTGTATCATACACGGCACCAATTTTGTAACCATTCTGTGAGGGTACTGTTTTTAATAAGTATTGTAGTCAGATTGATGATTAACAGCTGTTCCTTCCACCATCACTACTTCATGGGGAGATTGATCTAGGATTGTTGAAAAATATTATCTGATTTTGGAGGATTCTAATAGGGAAAATTACAAAGACCTTTCTCCATTTTTCACCCTGCTGATGCTTTAAGTAGCATAATTGCGGTACTGCAAAGTTATACCCTAACATTTTCACTGAATTAGTAGCATTTGGAACCAAGTATTGGGACATTAGTAGAAACCACACTTTTCTTCATTATCACTCAAGATTAGCCATCTTTATCAGTTCTTCCTCACATTGATTAATATTATGCATATATTCAATACTGTGAAAGTAGACACTGTGTTGAATAATAACATGTGCTTCAGAAATCCTCTTTGTGCAACTTTCATGTTTGTGTTTTTTCAGCTATAAAAAAAGAAAAATAGAATGGCAATATGGGTTAAAAATTAAAAAAGAAAGCTCTGAACTGCAAAAGAAAAAAAATATTGACTTTAATATTTCATTTTCAGTAATCCAAACCTTAACTTGTCAGTAATAACCTGTATATGTCTCTGGTTAAATACAGGTATGTTACTGGACTAAAATTCAATTAGTTTCTGTGTCAAATAGATTAGATTTATATCAATATAATAAATAGTTGTTAGTTAATTCCATCTAAGCTTTGTAATACTTTGAAAACAATACAAAAAAATCAATGTTTATTTTTAGAGAAATCTTTTCACAAGCAACCAAATTTATGACATATTTCTGTTATAACTGCATTTGTTTTCATCGTTTTTTATGAAAATATGTTTTCCTAAAATCATTAGACTAGAAATCCAACAAATAACCCAATATAAACATATAGCACATTACACACACACACACACACACACACACACACACACACATTTTGTTATCTTCCATTAAACTATAAGTAAGCAGTAAAGTACGGAACAAGTTAAATAACCCCTCAATTCCCAGACATTCAATTAGTAGCTGACCACAAAAACTTCAGTTCCTGCAATCTATTCATGAGAAACAGCTGTTCAGAGTACAAGTAGGCAATCTCATGATTTCTTCTTTTCTGGTGAGACTTCACCCGTCAGAATTATCCTTCTGACTGCTAATCTCAACTGCATTGCTGACCTGTTTCCTTCAGAAACATCTAGTTCCGTGATGGCAAACCTATGGCATGCGTGCCAGAGGTGGCACGCAGAGCCCTCTCTACAGGCACACAAGCCGTTGCCCCAGCTCAGCTCCACCATGCATGCATGTGCGCCTCCTGCCAGCCAGGTGGTTTTCGGGTCTCTGCCATGAATGCATGGGGGGGGGGCACATGAAGGTGATACACATGCACACATGGGGATGGAGTGCATATGAAGTGCATGGGGTGCATGTGGGGGATCACATGCAAATGTGAGGGGAAGTGAGGCACAAGGGTGTCACATACATGCATGG